TGGAGACTCCAGCTTGACAGTATTTTTATCCCTTCTCGACAGATCAGCCCCTTTTCCATAGTCCACACTGAACTCCATGTGATATTTAAAAACATTTTTCAAGGTCCCTCCAAAATTGTGGACCCCCACAACTCCAGACTCCTCCCGACCCAACGCCAGACTTGAAAAGTCAAAACATCCCTGCATAGGGGGGTCTATCCAGCCCCCCATCTCCAAACCAAACAAGACTCTATCTCTCCAAATCTGGCTTTTTCCAGGTTCATTCGTCAGGTCCAGCCACTCATGTTACTGCTGGGCCACAGTTCCCTCCATCTCTGCCTCTCGGGGTCCAGCCACAACCTCCTCCTTAATCTGATCTGTCAGAGCACATTCCTGATTTGATTCCTGAGTGGGTTCTATATAGATACCCACTACCTGTCCAAAATTTCTGATCGCAACAGTAATCAATTCCGTCTTCTCATGTAACTGTTCCAATAAAGCACTTGTTTTACAGAAAGCACGCACCAGAGCCTCTGAGCACATTGTTATAGAAGGTCAGAAGTCTATTCCCACGATCTTAATCTGTTGCAGCTGCGCCCCAGTTCAAGTTTAGTAACAGTTTCACAAGCTCCCTCTAGGGGAAAAACTTCTATTTGTATCCAACTCTTTTCTTTTTTATTTATTTTTTAACAGCAGATCTAACAACAAAGTTTCCTTTTTCAGATATTTTGTCAGTATTTGTTCCTTTAAATTGCGAAAGAGCACAATGGAATCACTATGTTTCTCTTCTTTTAACAGTCTGTCAAAAACATTTGTCTATAGTCAATGAACTTTCCCAAAAACGTCTGTCCTGACACCCCGCTCCCAGGTTCAAGACGGTGGAAAATTACTTTTCTTACACTCTCTTCTGCAGGTTTAAGCAATCCGGAAAAAATCCCCCCTCTTCTCCTGCTTCCGAAGGGGTTCAGTAATTTTAGATGATGGAAGTTGATCCTTTACAAACGATTTTCTACACTCTAGTTTGCCATGTCTTTGCTTTAATCTATCTACAAGAAACGGAAGGCTGACTTCCTGTTTAGACCTTCCCGCTTCAGTGCCAAATTAAGAGGAATTTCTTAATCCAATTTTCCGTTCTACTCACAGATCGTTGTTTAAAGTCCAATTGTCCAAATTTGATCTGCTCACGGGTAGTTGTTTTGTAGCCAAATTGTCCCAGGAAAAAGGTAGCGCTCTCTGGCAACGGCTGTGCGGCTTCGCTCCACGGAAGAAGCAGTTGACTCTCAGCACCGCGCCACTAACCCCTCTTCGCTCCGGAGCCCGTAATTGGGTTCCTTTACGAATTGGGGGGGGGGGCGCAAAAGGTGCCTGCCGAGTCCCATGGTCACAGGCTTCATCAGCCTGTGATTTTTTAGAGGGTCCCCGCTTCGCCGTAGCGGAACAGACCCGTTTCCCGTGGAGCCAGTCCCTCCGGATCAGAGGGAATCCGCCATTACCGATGGCGCCACCCTGGAAGTCCTTCGTTGTTTGCTTGTTATTATCTAAATTTCAATACTGCCCTTCACCCAAGGAACACAGGGAGGTTTACAGTATACAAACACAAAATGCATACCATAGTAACAAACAAAAACAATACCCCTCCATAGTTTAAAAGGCCATAGATTGTTTAATTAGCCAAAGGCCTGGGTGAAGTTTTTGCTTGTTGCCTAATGATATTGATCATCTGGAGATGCCCATGGCCAGCCATTCCTGCCCATGCCTTTGTTTTGTTAGGGAGATAGAATAATAGAATCGCAGAGTTGGAAGGGACCACGAGGATCATCTAGTCCAATCCTCTGCAATGCAGGAATCTTTTGTCTAACGTGTTGCTCAGACACATGACCCTGAGATGAAGAGCCTCATGCTCTACTGACTGAGCTATTGGCTGGAAAAGGCTGCGGGAAAGACAATGCAACTTCCACCCAGTTAAGGGGTGGGAACTGATCCTAAGGTATTCGTGTAAAAGAAATTGTATTTTGAAGTGGGGAGTAAAAGTTCTGGGAGCATCTTGAGAGCAGTCCCAATTGGTATATTTCTTTGTTTAACAAATGCTTTTCTAGCTGAGAGAGTGTCATACTTTGGTCCAATGTTCATGGAAGCAAGTGGTGAAACTGATCAAATGACGCAAAGTTAAAAGGTAAAGGTAAAGGGACCCATGACCATTAGGTCCAGTCATGACTGACTCTGGGGTTGCGGTGCTCATCTTGCTTTACTGGCTGAGGGAGCTGGCGTATATCTTCCGGGTCATGTGGCCAGCATGACTAAGCTGCTTCTGGCAAACCAGAGCAGTGCATGGAAACACCATTTACCTTCCCGCCGGAGTGGTACCTATTTATCTACTTGCACTTTGACGTGCTTTCAAACTGCTAGGTTGGCAGGAGCAGGGACCGAGCAACGGGAGCTCACCCCGTCGCGGGGATTCGAACCGCTGACCTTCTGATCGGCAAGTCCTAGGCTCTGTAGTTTAACCCACAGCGCTACCCGAAAAGTTAGCAGGTGCCCAATTCTGAGGCCCTCTTTGAGCTTGGGGCAGTGGATCAGCCAACTGCTAGGAGTGTGGTTGCTGGCGGCCTCCAGCTCTGCTCTGCTCTTTTTGCTTTGTAAGTATACTGAGTGCTCCAAAATGCCAACCCAATACTGCTGCCCCTTGAACTTCTCACTGCTCATGCGATGATAACGTGGTCCACAGGGGAGGAACGAGGGAGGTGCTAGGATGGTGTGGTACCCATTTGCTTTGAGGGCTGCTTTAGAGAGAATCTTCCACTGGGGAGATGCTGGATCGTTCGCAGAGTTACCTGGCAGTTCAGTAAGAGAACTGGAGGAGGATCCTTTTGTAATGTGGGTTTAAAAAAAACCCAGCTGTCTTCTTGTAGATCCTTAAATGACTTGTTGCTTGGGAAAAGTAAATATAGCCAGGAGAGCAGATGGAGAGCTTCTTGCTGCAGCTTGAGAGTCGAGGTTTGTTAACAGACGTTTGTAACATGTTTTTTACTCTCTTTTTTGTATTTTTAAGTACTGATAAAGAAATGTTTGCTTTTTCATCTATTGTCACAATTTTTCTCCTCTTTTTAAATGTCTCTGCTAGATTGCAGTCTTAATACAATCCCCCATCCCACCCCCAGAAATATAGAAAGCTGTTTTGTACCAGTTGTGCCTTGCTCCATATTGTCTACACTGACTGGCAGTGACTCTCCAGGGTTTCAGACGGGGAGCCTCTCCCAGCTCTACCTGGAGATGCCAGGATTGAACCCAGGACCTTCTGCATGCATTCAGGTGACACGTTCTGCAGCTGAGCTAGAGACCTCCCCCCTCTCCCATTCCCCCCACCTCTGTTTCGATGGTAGAGTGCTTTCATTTTGGAAAGAGCGTGTCTTTCAGTTTGCTTACAGAAGCAAAGGAGGATTTGTGACCTCAACCCCCCCCCACCCCATGCACTTTCCTCTCACATCTGGCTTTTAAAACAGACTTTTCTGATAAGTCATAAGTGAAATACTGTAAAGAGGTGCATTTGACAGTGATTTCAGCTTAATGTCAAAAAGAAAATTGCATTAAATGTTATGGTTCATAGTACAGGGGAACAATTATGCGGGGCTGCTGTCAGGCTTCTCTTAATGGCCGCCGCGATAATTCCTATGGGGCCCTTTGCTCATGTCTCCCCACCTTCAACTGAGAATTCTCTCAGAATCACGATTCTTTAAAAAAGGAGGAGAGAATGATAGACCTTCCTAGCTAGATTTACTGTCTGAACAGCTTTTCTGTGATTTTTTTCACCACATGTCCTGTCCCCCCCTTAGACCTACGGCAGGTTGAGTGTTCAGTGTTATCAGCTGTCCCCTCTCCCGTTAAGTGGGGTCTAACCAACCCCAATGCTTTTTTAGTGAAACTAAAAATTAAAAGGAGAGGGAGGAGAAGCACTGCAGAAAAACCAACCTTTTTATGGTAGGAGAATCAGCGCAGCACGTGGCTGAGCAAGATTTGTTTTTATATTTAAATACATTAAACATCAGTTTGGGGTCAGCTTGTGTGAGGGAGGGCTAAACAGAAATATATGTCAGCAAAGGTTAAACTTCTGTGATGTTTTGAAGGAGGTTTGGGGCGCAGTGAACGACCAATTCCTGGAACCCATTGTTTAAAATGTATTTGTCATTATCAAGTTTTGTGGAAAGAAGCAGGTTTGATTAAATGAAATCTTCCCCCACCCCCAGTACTTATTTAACAATGAATAGCATGTCTGGCCATATGGGTTTTTAAAGGTCAGCTCTGAGGCTTCTGGTTCTGTGGTTCTCATTGTATCACTTCCCCAGTAGGACAAATGCATGCATTGTAATTAGTTTCCTTCCTTTTCAGAGTTTTCTCTGTGTGTTTTTCTCATACACACACATGCACAGAGAAAAACACGCACGCTGCATGCACTGCAATGATCCATTGCTCCCTTTTTTGGAGGGATTCTGTTTCACTTCTGCTGTTGAAAGTGTCAGAAAATCAAGGAAAATATGAGGTTCTTAGACAAACTGTTTCCTTTTAGCTGGTTTTTTGGTGGGTAATATATTAAATGCATTCTTGCAACAGTCCTCCAAAGGGGATAAGTGCATTTTTCTAAAACTCCTTATTCACTTTTAGAACATGAGCCAGCCCAGAGATGAGTTAATAATGTCTCCCGCTGGTGTTTCCCTGCTTATCTTTCTGTGGATTAGAATTGTGGAAAGAATATCTACCTTAATAACTAATGACAGGAAGACAGGACTGTTTCTTCACTACGGGGTTTGGGGAGGGTCATCACTCTTCCTCAGCAGATTGAAGGAGGTTTATTACTGGAAGTCTGTCGGGTTGCAAATGGGCTGAGGGCTGCAAGCCTGGGTGTGCGTTAATGATTTTTTGGTTGTCTCTCCTTCTGCCCGGCAGTATTTTGGCTGGTGCTGTTCAGCCAGCCAGCAGGAAATGACCCTTTCTAGGACTGCATGAGCGACAGAGATGCAGTTCAGAATGCTGTCTTGCGTTACTTGCATTTGGGTTTTTAAAAAAAACATTGCTTCTGAAACCGGCAAAGGGCTTTCGGTAGTCAGTTGGATGGCAACTTGGTTGGAGATTTAGCCTTGGATCTTCCAGGGAAGTTAATCAGAGTTAAAGCAAGAAAGCCTGTTGGGGTTAAGGTGAGTAAACCAGATTTCTTTCTTGTCTGCCAAAGGTGAATATGATCTAAAATGTATTTAGCTGGGGATGGGTATTGTGGGGTTAAAGACTTGGGTTCTTCTTTTTTGAAAATTTTTGAAATTCATCTCCCTCCTCCCCATTTCTGAATTTTCACTTGCACTACCTTCTAGGCAGCAACTATTGGTTCCCTAGATGAACAGGCAGAGGTGCTTGCATAGGCAGCTGTCTCCTGTGCATACTGTCTGTTGTTGCACGCAAAGATCTGTGGATTTTGATAGTAAATCCTGCATCAGGATTAGGAAAGCAGGATGTCTGATTCTGCTCTGAAGAGTGATGTAGAGGGAAACAGGGAGAATGCAAAGCAAAACAAAACAGCTGTTCTTTCTGAGCTCTCGTTCCCCTTTATGACATGGTCACAGGGCAACTTGCAAACTAAAAACACCATAAATGCATAAAAACACCAAACTAAACATTGGGGTGATGGGGGCAGTGATGGTGCAGTAAGAAGCCCTTCTGGTGGGTCTGTGAGGGTTTCCTTCCAGGGTCTAGCGAAGTTTTTGGGTGGCAGAGAAGAAAGATATCTGCTTCCAGAATGAATTCTCCCTGGAAGTATGTTCTCCTCTCCAGATGCACCACATGGTTTAAGTACCACTGGATTAAGTCAAAAGCTTAATAAAAAGGTGGAGCTTTGAGAAGGGATGCAAAGGAGAGGGGGCTTTAACCAGTGCTATTTTTCTAGAAAAAGAGGTGCCAGAACTCACCATGAAAGCTTCTCTTGTTCTCTTGTAATGGCAAAGGGCCCACCTGAGAAGTGCCGGAACTGAGTTCTGGGAAGTTCTGGCTAATGAAAAGCCCTTGTGTTAACCTTTGTCAGTGCCTATCTCTTTCCCCTGTTTGGGTCTCACAGCCAAACATCAGGAATTTTTAAACAAAGGATTGAGGATTGAAGTGAACATTTTGTGATATTATGGCAGTGGACAAAGCTGTATTGTAATTTTTGAATAAACGTTTTAATAAAAAACAAAGGAAAGGGGTGCATCAGGATGTTCGTGAAAACAATGAAGAACTTGGTGGAACCTGAAACACTAGCTGAATTTTTGTGGTAGAAACTTTTGTAAATATCCTAAAGCGCCATAATATTCTTTATTCATTCTTTGCTCTGGCAAATTAATTTAGCTAACCCTCTGAAAACAGCGCATTAGATCACTACTTCAGAAGACTTAGATTAGTTTCCTTTCTCTGCCACTGACTTCCTGCATGTGGACTTGGGCAAATCACTTACTGGTTTGTTAAGTGGCAAAACAAGGGAAGACAGGATTTAAAGCAGATTTTGGACCAGTGACTACCCATAGCTCTTGGCTTGAAAGGGTGGTGGGTCATAGTGCTTGCTGCACCGACAACTGTTGACTTTAGAGTCAGGTACCGTATATTTATTTTTTCAGCTAGGTTTTTTTGGGGTGGGGTGGAAATCAACACAAAATGGATAGTCTGGTCATCTCAGATAACTGACCTGTTTCCTTGCTTCAAAGGAAAGAACTGCGTTGTCTAAATAGATTTTTGATCTTCCATTTGGGAAGATGCCCAGAATTATTGATGGAAGGTCCCTTGTTACTGCCATAGAACTACGATTTCCCTGGGAGTAGGAAGAGCTATATAGGTGCTGCAGAAGACCAATCACGTGTGGTCTGAAAAATAGGAAGGGGTGGGCTGAGCACCCCTTCCCTAAATGAAGCTGCTGGTTATAAAGCTGATAGTTTAAAAATTAAGCAAGCTTTTGAGTTAAGCAGGACTCATGAGATTTGTGTTTCCTGGAAGAAGAGTTCAGTTGAGCTCCAAAGCTTGCACCCTATTAGTTGGTCCCAGTAAACGAAGCAGCGGGGTTTCCAGCCTGACGTCATTGTTCTCGTAAGGGCAGCCTTTGCATAGAGAGCAGAGTGACGGCAGCGAAGGGCGACTGGCAGAAGTTCATAACTGCTACATTGCTTTGATCGGAAAAAAATTCTGGTCCGGCCTTTGCGATACAAGGGATAGTAAAAATATCTCTCGCAGCTAGAAGTGTATCTCTTGCTTATGACACATGATGGTTATTTTCGGCTCACGGGGGCTATTTTTATGCCTGATGCTTCTCCGTTTGAGTTTCTATGGAAACAGTGTTATTGGTATGGGCGCAGAACAGTGACCCTGGCAGATGTTGACTAAAGTGGAGGTCCCCCCCTTTCTTCGTCTCCCCCCGGGCATATATTTGGGCTTGCGAGTTGCACAAAGCAACAGCTTCTTGTTGGATGCCTGTGGGGCAGGGGGGGGGGAGATGGGGACGTGGAACTGAGTCATTGCTGCATGTGCGGAGATGTTAATTTTTTATAGCAACTGCTGCCATAGCAACAAGGTGCTTCAATTATCAAAATTAAAACCATGAAAAGTTACCTGCGTCTCCATGAGACCTATTGTTGCACGTATTAATTATGTGAGAGATAATAATAGCAAAACACAATGATATTGTTGCTCTCTTCGCACACCCTGAATTACAACGCTTAAGACCTGGGGCATTTCAAGAGTACAGGGCCTGGGATCAAGACTAAAGTCCTTTATCTGAAGCCGTGCTTCAAGAGTGTGCTGGGAGGAGGGAGGAGCAGATCTGCTCATGTTGGTTTCTCGCAGTTTCTAATTTTTTCCATTTCCACTGCAGTTTCAGAATATATCCCATTAAATCTATCAGCATTTTAGTGTACATTTCTCCCAATTCATATGCTTTGTGCATAACACAACACGTTTTTATAAATTGCTTTGCCCCTAATTCAGTGGTGTATTTTTGTATGTTGTGTGTCCCCCTCTAATATGTGAGTTTTTATGCACACTTTACCCTCTTAAATGCATTTTTGTTCATGGAACTTGGCTGGAGATCAGCACTGGAAGGTTTGGAAAAGCCCGAATTCCAAAGGAGGCCTGCATTTCTATTCATGTGTTGTTTCAGAAAGTGCAAATTCGGTAGGTTCGTTTTTAAACAGGAAAGAATTGAATTCATCTTCCATCCCAGCAGGGAGTCTCACTTGCCTAATGCAGGTTAACTGGGTGGGGTTGAAGCCAGTTTGCTGTAAAGCTATTAAGAGCTTTTGGAGGAGAAGAGTGTCTGGATCTTGTTATTCCAAGAGCTCTTTGTGGTTTGGCTTTTCCTGTACCGCTCCTACGGCTTCTCGACCCTGTACTTCCTTCTGCATCCCAGAACAGCAACCAGGCCCTGGGGAGAAAACAGGGGCCCAGCAGTGCAGCTCGTAATCATTTGCGTGAGCCTTGCACAAGAGAATTCCTGACACGTTGCCCTCAAATGTCTTCTCCTGACTAAATGGAACCTCATTGTACCGGAACAGGGTACCCCTAAATGCCAGTAGCTGGAGGACAATGAGGTGCGCCATGCTTGCACACTGCTAGCACAACACAGTTGTTCAATCTGCCGCGTGACTGACTGCGCTTGGGAGTACTGTGTACAGTCCTGGTCCCCTCGCCTCAAAAAAGATACCGCAGAGCTGGAAAAGGTCCAGAAAAGGGCCACCAAAATGATAAAGAGGTTGGAGCAACTCCCTTTTGAGGAAAAGCTGAATCATTTGAGGCTTTTTAGTTTAGAGAAAAGCCAAGAGGATACACTATAGATGCGTATAAAGTTGTGTGTGGTGTGTTGAAAGCTGTCAGAGAAACGTGTTTCTCCCTTTCATAATGCCAGAAGTCGAGGGCGTCCAGGGAAGCTGGAGGTTGGGAGAATTCAGGGCAGGTAAAAGGAAGCGAGAGATAAATGCAGTTATCCAGCAAAGTAAGATAAGTAATAGACAGTGGCGTAGCAAGGTCAGGTGGTACCCGGTGCGGAATTTTTTTTGTCACCTCCCCACTCAGTTGAAATTGAAATTTGTCAAAGAGAGCTGTGCAGGCCGTGGCAATGCAGATCCCGCCTTCTCCCTCTCCCTCCCTCCACTCCCCTCTGCCAAAGAGAGCCAGAAGATCTGGAGGGTGGCAAAGTGAGAATGGACCTTTTCAGTGGTGACTCCCTGTTTGTGGAATGTTCTGGCACCATCCTGATATAAAAATCATATTTTTAAAAAAATAATATTTATTGAGATTTCAGAAACAAAAAATTACATAAAAGACAATGAAAAATATAGAAAAAAAGAGAAAAAACATACAAAATACAAAGTATAGAAAAAAATATATAGAAAAAACACTTAGAAACAAATTTATCCTTCCGTATCTTACATTTCATTTCCTTGCTTTCCTGACCTCCTCTCACCTCCCTTTTTTGTATTCCGGTTCAATTGGTTAATTCAGCAATTCCTTTCCCTCTTATTTTTGTCTTAGTCCTTTAACTTAATATATTATAGCTTTAAATTCTCACCTATTAACCAGCCATTTTTTCATACACCTTTATGACATTGCTGCTAGAACCACTTAATTTCATTCTGACATCATTCTAACATTCATTTATTTTACAATATTTCTGTAAACAGTCTTTAAATTTCTTCCAATCTTCTTCCACCGACTCTTCACCCTTGTCTCGAATTCTGCCAGTCATTTCCGCCAATTCCATGTAGTCCATCACCTTCATCTGCCATTCTTCCAGAGTGGGTAGATCTTGTGTCTTCTGATATAAAAATCATTTTTAACTAGGGCTTTGCCTCTTAATTATCTTTGGCCTTGAGTGGGTGGAATGTTTTAATCCTGCCTTTTAAAAATAGGATTTTCCTTTAGGGTCTTTATTTTTTCTTTTATGCTGGTTTCAATGTATGTGTTTGTATGTACATATATTGAAAGTTGCTTTGAATTACCTTGGTAAAAAAAGACCAATAAATTTTAATAATAATAGTAGTAGTTAGTAGTAGTAGTAGTAGTAAAAAATCACTATGTCTTTTTGAGCAGAATGATACAGAGCGCACTTAAATACTGTGCTAAGCTAACTGTCTCAGAACCATGTACTCCCTCAAACTGGATTGTATGAAAATAAACTGAACATAACCTCATATAGGCCCTGTTCTAAGAGCTTCATTGACTGCCAGTTCATTTCTAGGTCAAATTTATAGTACTCACGTTAGTGTATTAAGCCCTAAATAACTTAGGCCCCACATAGCTGAAATACCTCTTCTTTCCCTGCAGAACTCACAGGTGTTAAAGATCAGCAGAAGGGAAGCTCTTGGGAGTTTCACAGCCCTTGGAATTTTTTTTATTTGGGGGGGGGGGGGAGAAGATTGTATTCTCTGTAAAATCCCCTAAATTGTGGAATTCCCTCCTCACAGATATGTGTCTGAACTGTTGAAGAACCTTTTCCCTTCCCTGCATCTTCCACGGCTGGATTTACTTGGTTTGGCAGCTTACAGAGAACATCTTACGGAAGACGCTTTGCTGTATAAATGTGGGCTGCTGTTACGAAAGCTGCTTTCTCCTGCTCAAGGCAGGGCTGAACTTTCTGAGAAGCCTGGGCACAAGAACTGCTATGGGTGCACCCAGACATACCATTTCTCTTCCCTCTAGGAAGTGAGCGTGTTGAAACCTTGCAGGCCCAGAGCTGAGACCTGCAATTTGTAAGCAGAAAAGGTCCATCTGGCTTACCTATAACTGGGCCAAACTATTTCAGGCTGCAGCACAAAGTTCCCGTGTTTGCGTCAATGCAAATATTTCCTACACAGACAAATGTGGAGGGGGAAGCCTAGCTTAATAGTCTCTCCTTTACATGCTGTTTTTGCAAGACTGCAACATTTTGATCTGCTTGATTGATTAAACGCTTCTTCTTCTTTTACTTAAAACGCCTCCCCAATTAATTAGTAACATTTTATTTGGAAAAAGAAAAATATTTTCAATATAAGCACTGAATATGCCATGCACCTTCTCATTTGTTTGTTTGTTTGTTCAGTGGTCCTTGCCTGACACAGGCCAGGATTTTTTGAAAGATGCTAAGAAGGCTTCCAGATCCTCCTGAAATTCTGCCCCTGTGGCACCTAATCCCCTTAGGCTCTTTTGAGAATCTCTGCTTTTAATTGGTAGGAGGCAAAACTAGGTCAGCTCCTGAGCTAAAGAAGTCAGACCTAAAATAGGTTTTGTCCTGCTTCCCTTCCCCCTCTCCCTACCCCTTGAAGGTGACTTAAAGGCCCCAGCTGCATTGCTGGAGAACTTGGTACAGGAGCGTGGGGTGGGTTGATCAAGAACCACAACTCATTTGTACCTTACTGCTTTTCTTTCTAAAGCCACAGCCCGCGCCAGCCCAGCTCTGCCTGCTAATTTGCCTGGCTGGAATGGGTCTGTGGCCTGTGATGATATCTCTTGTGATGATATCTCTTGCTGGCCTGGGTGCTGAATGGAGAGATGCTTGTGATGTGTACATTCAGAAATCCCTGACTTTTGTGTGGCTGGAGTGTAACCTGCTGCACAAAGGTAAGTCACGTCGCTTGCTCTGCCTGCTTTTGCCTCTGGCTTCACCCACCATTGTGACCCCAGAAGGATGCCAATACGTGAATGAAACCCTTGTTCTTCAAAAATTTCCCTATTCCTGATTTGTAGTATACTAGAAGCAAACTCATCCTCCAGTACTAGATCTCATGTTGTCATCCATGCAGAAGAGGGGAAGAATTAGCAGGTTTGGGGAAATTTTCAAGGTTTGTTGATGTACTTAAAAATAAATATAAATAAAAATAAATAAATTGGGGCTAACCCCCACTCCACCCCAAACAGCTCAGTGAGGGGACTGTGTATTCAGTGACTCTCTCTCTCTCTCTCTCTCTCTCTCTCTCTCTCTCTCTCTGTGTGTGTGTATGTGTGTCTGTCTGTTTTGAAATGAAACATAGTATGCTGAAAGATGACATGTCTGGCTAGCTGGCTGGAACCTTTGACAGGAGCACTCCAAACTGCAACATTTTGTTGCAGGTCCCAACTGTCACATAAAATTTATATAACCTAAAAGGTAAAGGTAAAGGTACCCCTGCCCGTATGGGCCAGTCTTGACAGACTCTAGGGTTGTGCGCTCATCTCACTCTAGAGGCCGGGAGCCAGCGCTGTCCGCAGACACTTCCGGGTCACATGGCCAGCGTGACGACGCTGCTCCAGTGAACCGGCACCAGAGCAGCACACGGAAACGCCGCTTACCTTCCTGCTATAAAGTGGTACCTATTTATCTACTTGCACTTAAGGGTGCTTTCGAACTGCTAGGTGGGCAGGAGCTGGGACCGAACGACGGGAGCTCACCCCGCCGCGGGGATTCGAACCGCCGACCATGTGATCGGCAAGCCCTAGGCGCTGAGGTTTTACCCACAGCGCCACCCGCGTCTCTTTATATAACCTACATTATAGAAAACCTGACTGCTGACTGTTCACTAACCTGGGCTAGATCTAGACCAGGCATAGGCAAACTCGTCCCTCCAGATGTTTGGGACTTCAACTCCCACCATCCCTAGCTAACAGGACCAGTGGTCAGGGATGATGGAAATTGTAGTCCCAAAACATCTGGAGGGCCGAGTTTGCCTATGCTTGATCTGGACACATCAAAGAAGTGTTTCAGTTTAAAGCGTTGTAAATTTAAACAGGGAAAACAGGTAGAGAAAAACAGGACTCCATGTCACCATCTGGTGTCACAATGTTATACGGGTTAAGAACTTAATTTGTTCTGTAGGTCCGTTCTTAACCTGAAACTGTTCTTAACCTGAGGCACCACTTTAGCTAATGGGGCCTCCTGCTGCTACCTCGCTGCCGTGCGATTTCTGTTCTCATCCTGAAGCAAAGTTCTTAACCCGAGGTACTATTTCTGGGTTAGCAGAGTCTGTAACCTGAAGTGTATTTAACCTGAAGCGTATTGTAACCCGAGGTACCACTGTACTGGCAAAGTGGGGGATCTGCTGGAGGTTCCCGCTCCTCTGAAACGTGATAGAACTGCTGCCTTGATCTTGTGGTGTTCAGAAATCTTCAAGAGCCTTGGATCACAGATCTTGGACATTAAAATAAGACTCAAACTGAGCCTGTCAAGGACTATGCGAAAGTGCCCTCAAGGACGGGCAGAAATGAAGAGTGCTGTGATGGGTTCTTGACATCCAATGAAGCAAAATGACAGAAAATTTGGGACACAGACAGACAAGTGCATAAAAGTATGAAATTGTCTACTCCGAGATGTAATGATGGCTGCTAGTATAGATGGCTTTAAAGGGTGGTTGGATAAATTCATGGAGGATAAAACTCTCAGTGGCTATGTGTCATGATGGCTGTTTGGGGTAGGATCAGCAGGCTTTCTGCCCAACCTGATTAACCAGGAGGCTTCCTTATAAAGGTAAAGGTAAAGGGACCCCTGACCATTAGGTCCAGTCGTGGCCGACTCTGGGGTTGCGCCGCTCATCTCGCTTTACTGGCCGAGGGAGCCAGCATATAGCTTCTGAGTCATGTGGCCAGCATGACTAAGCCGCTTCTGGCGAACCAGAACAGCACACAGAAACGCTGTTTACCTTCCCGCCGGAGCGGTACCTATTTATCTACTTGCACTTTGACATGCTTTCGAACTGCTAGGTTGGCAGGAGCAGGGACCGAGCAATGGGAGCTCACCCCGTCGCAGGGATTCGAACTGCCGACCTTCTGATTGGCAAGTCCTAGGCTTTGTGGTTTAACCCACAGCGCCACCTGCGTCCCTCTGGGCTTCCTTATACTGCTTGCCAATTGCAAAGACCATGCTGCATACCTGTATATATTCTTTTTGTCTGTGAGGATGCACAGTTCATGGTAGGTCATTTCAGTACAGTCTTAGTCCCATCATGAGATCCCAGGTCAAATGCATAGTCCCTGAGAGCTGCATTTTTGAAAGGCAAGGATGAAAAGCACCCATGAAACAGTCCCTGGTGCGTTCCTTTTTTTTCAGCTGTTCAAATACCTCCGCTGTGACGCCAGCTGCTTCAGGTGGGTTAGGATCATTGCACGGGATTTTCACCTGACGGCAGGAAGAAACAATTACCATGTCTTACTTGCCTGCCATCTTTCAGTGTGATGAAATTAAATTAATTATGGATGGAGTCTTAAACTGACACAGTTCAATGAGTGTACTGTGGAGATAAGATTATTGTAAATGGCAACTACTATATTATCAGATCTTGGCTGCACGGAACTGCATGCTTCAGAACTGCTTGTGAGTTTGCTCTCAAAGAGGTGACGGTGGCCAACTTGATGGAACACTATCACTGGATTAATTGAGTCTCTCCTTTCTACATGCATTTATTTTATATACAGTATTTGAGTGCCTGCCCATACTATAAAATTATCTGGGTAGTCTTAAAATAATTGAATATAAAACTTATGTGAATACAAATAAGATAAAACCGCAGCAGGTGTTGGGCTGGTGCCTCAGGAAGCTCTGGCTTTGGCAGGTAACGGCAAAGGAAGCCAATACTCTAGGAGCAGGTTGGGTGATTATCCCTGAACCCCCCCCCCCATAAAAGCTTCCTGGTCAGGATTTTCCTACTAAACATGGAGATCTGCTCTTGTGTGCTACAAGCTACCTTTCCTTGCCTCCTTTTTTCCTGTATTTAGCTGCGCAGGAGGAGTGGGCTGGGGTCGTTGTACAAGGCCTTTGCAGCGTTTGCTCCCGGAAAGAATATTTCTCTGGATGGAACGAGGCTGAAAAACAAAACGTTGCTTCCTATTTTCTCATTCTTGGTCTACTTGGCAGAAAATTAAGAGCAACTGTAAAGCTATCCTTTAAAAAAAAACACACACACACACCTAATTAAAAGCGGAGGGGGATATCCCATCAACAATCAACTGCTGAAATCAAGGCAAATGCATCTGATAGAAGCAGCCTTTATAATGTGCAACACTTCTAGAATATACTGCTAGGAACCTTTTTTTTATATGCTCTGAGCTGTTGCTCTAGCAATTTTTCAATTTTATGTTGTGCAATTAAGCTGCAAAGTCAAATGAATGCTAGATTGATGACTTGCTGGCTCATGTTTATCCTCCCATAGCCGTCTTCATTTCATTCTTAGTCTTCCCCCTCCTGTGCTTCTCGCACGCAGCTCTGACAGCTCTGAATACTGGAACTCAAACACTTTTGGAGAGACCCATTTCTTTTGCGATACTGTAGACAGGTGGTGAGGCAGTGAGCCAGCTTGGCAGCAAAAGGAGCTACTGGAAGCCTGTTCAGCTGGGAAGGTTCAAGTCGCCATCCTGGATCCGACTCATGGTCCACCCAGCTCCATCTGCAAGAGTATCTGGCAAAGCCAAATGGCCCCAGAGCTCATGGGAACTGGGTCCTGCCCCACGTTTCAAAACCTGTGGGTGTTGTGGGCTCTGAACACATACTAAAATTTCTTCCTCTGAACAAGGCTGTCCAAGTGTGTCTCCCAACAGTCGCAAACCAGAAATGCACAAGCCAAGCATGATCATTATTTTTATTTATAAAATCACGTTTTTATTGCTTCTCAGCCCTGCCAAAGCCCCAAAAGCAGCTTACATAAAAGACAAAAGCCAAACATTGCCAAGCAGCAAAATTTAAAAATAAATCACTGAAATGAAAAAAGGAGTAGGGTTAGTTTTTGCTTTTAAAAAAGATTTCAATCATATATTAACAACCATCAAAAGCCATGCATAATAATTACGCTTTCACAGCCTGCCCTAAATGTCATCAGCGAAAGGTCTAATATCACGTCAAAGACCGGCAGGGCTCTGAGGAGTGGGTGGAAGAGGTAGTAGTGGGGCCGGAAACTGACCGAGGGGAAGCAGGTAGCAATTTATGAGTCAGGAGTTGGAGGATGGGGAGGGGTCTGAGCAGTTGGAGATGGGGGAGGAAGTG